AATATAAAACAATATAATATAATATAATATAAAATAATATAATATAATATAATATAATATAATATAATATAATATAATATAAAATAACAATATAAAACAATATAATATAATATAATATAATAATATAAAATAATATAAAATAAAAGAATATAATATAATATAATATAATAATATAATATGATATAATATAATATAATATAATATAAAATATTATAATATATAAGAATATAAAAGAATATAATATAATATAATATAATATAATATAATATAATATAATATAATTTTGTAATAAATTGTATTTTTGACCAATAATTATGTTAAATCTGCATTTTTAAGACTGCATCATTCTAATGTGTTTATATTTTATAATCTTTCTATGTTGAATCATTGTATTTTATTGCATGCTTGATTTCTCTGTTGTTGTAGCACTTTGGGTTTCAGAAAAGCTCAATATAAATAAAATGCTTTATTATTATTATTATTATTAATATTAATTAATTACAGTAACATTTTAATTGGTAGAAATGCATTTCCCTTATGATTCATATTTTTCTGCTATTTACAGTATGTTTCATTTTTTATTTATTGCTTTTATAGAATTTATTGTTTAATATGAAGCCACTGTTCACAATTCAGTCAGTATTTTTAATAAACAATGTTAAATGTCTACAGTTTGCATGAGGGCTATTTCGCAATTGTTTTGATATGTGTTGTACAGATTATATCATGATAATCATTGCACTTATTCTCCCAAATGTGGTCTCCTCACATGATAACATTGCAGGTTTCAACGTCTTTCACCTGGCTGCTGTAAGCCTGGGACATGAAATTATTTATTAACATGAATGTAAATGATTTTTCATTCATGGTGCTTACATTTCTTTTGGCAACCTAGATGAGGAGCCTGTGTTAAAGTACACATGAAATCAAAACCAAGCATATTGATTTTGTTAGCTTGCATTGCTAGTTTTAGGGGAACAAATGATCTGTGCATGTCATTAAGAAAGAAAACGAGTTTGCCCTTTGTAATCTTTTATTAAAATCTAAAAATGCACTTCCTGTTCGCTTTCAGTTCAATTCTCAGATTAAGTTTGACTGAGGTAGTAGGCGTGGCTAACATATTTGACCACGCCCCTTCAACTGTCTGTTAGGCTGTAATGACTGTAATGACTCTCCCCAAACACTCTTTCTGAATGAAACTTTAACACATCCAATCAGCTCGCAGTAGAAAAAACAAGCCACGCCCACTGTTTTCTCATTTAATATTTCTCGTTTCTCTAGGAACTGCATCACAATACAAAAAAAAAAAAAAAGCACAGCTTCAAGTTGATGTTAACTTCAAGGTTAGTAATCTGTTTTGCATGTCTGAGACCTTGATTGTCTATCAAGTATCTTTCAACAGGACCTGAAAGACAACATGCTTTTACTCTACTGGATTATAGTGTGAGAGAGACTCACCCGCGTCAACTTGTTTGGCGAATCCTTTCCTCTTTCCTTCAGAGAGTTGAGGATCTTGGTTGAGGGAACGTGCCACTTTGCCTCTGTGAAGACACCAAAATAAAAGATGAGCAGAGATGTACAGATCATCTCACTATGGCAAACACAAGAGCTAGAGCACCATTTTAGATCAGAAATTAATGAAGTGATGACATTTAAAAAAGTAAATATAATAAAGGCTGTATGACTTGGAGGATAAATAATTAAAACAGACTTTTAAAGGGCACCTATGATGAAAATCCTCTTTTGTAAGCTGTTTGGACAGAACTGTGTGCAGGTATAGTGTGTTCACACAGTCATACAAGAGTGATAGAAACACAAGGGTTCTATTTTAATGATCTAGACGCAAAGTCTAAAGCAGTGGTTCTTAAACATTTTTCATCAAGTACCACCTTAGAAAAAAACTGTCTCTCCAAGTACCACCAAAATGAGCAGCATTGAAATACAGTAGCGTAGTAGGCCCAGTAAAGCAGCTACAACTCTGCACAGTTAAAAAACTTGGCAGATTACCTCAGAAATATAGCCTATATATAATATATGGCATATTATATACATCATTTTTAATAAATTTTGAATTATATGTAGCATGTACATAACATACTTCATTCCTCCGTGTACCACTAGAAGGAAGCCCACATACCACTAGTATTACACGTACCACAGTTTGAGAACCACTGGTCTAAAGCACATGACGGAAAAGCATCGACGCTGTGTCTGAATACACTTTTGCTATTTTAAGGATGGAAAAACACAGTCTGCGTCCCGGCAAATTGTCTAACAGGGTTGTGCTTATTCTCCGAATGAGTTCTGGGTGTGTTTTGAGCATAACGTGCATTAAACCAATCAGAGTCTCATCTCCCATTCCCTTTAAGAGTCAGTTGCGTCACGCCATGGCGCATTTGCTTTTTACATGACGGACTTTGTCAGAGGAAAAGCTGAACGCTTCACTAGAGGGAAAACGGTTAAACAGAGCACCTGCATCGTGAGTATAAAGAATGAGCCTCCTCCATTCAGCCTCTTTACTTTAACTCACTTCACTGAAGTCATCCATTAGCTGACATATTTAATTTAGTTTAGATTTGTTTTAAAACTATTTCTAAAATCAGCTCTAATTTTAAAGAAACGAATAAATGAACAATAATAATGAAGTGTGCTCAAACAACTGACTTATATCCAAACGCACGTCCCGTTCTTATGCCCCATATGGTGATGCAGACGTCTCCAAAACCCGCCAAATGCACAAATCTAATAATCATAACTTTTGTAACTCTTTAGTCCTTAATTTTATTTTATATGTAAAGATATGTGTGTATTGCTGTACGTTATGTGTGTATTAAGCGTTTGGACCGGCATAAGCGCATAACTAACGCACTCTGCGCCGGACTTTATCACGTGTTTAGAACGTAAATGCGCATTCGGTGTGATCGTCTCCTTAGGTTGTAGTCTTAAAAAACAGCAATACTTTCTTAGCATATTAGACCTACCGCTTTCTGTCCGATATTGGTGAAGTATTTTGTTGTCCATTCTTCCTTAAACACACGACATTCAGAGTCCATTTTTTTTGCCTGACTCATTTTCAGTCATTAACGGTTGTGTGCATTTTAATATCCGAGAGTGTGTTCTTATTATACCGGTTGCGCTAATTGTACCGTGTGCAATACTGCCATCAAATGGCGTTCACTTGTATTGCATCAATAATTTACTAGTTCTAAAACCAAACCGTCACTTAGAAGCAGCATTACTCCCTCGCGGGTCGGGCCGCATTTGGCCCGCAGGCCGTAGTTTGCCCACTTCTGCTCAATATTAACGCGTATAATCAAATCATCAAGACAGGATGTGGGCAAAGCAATTGAGAGTAAAGATCTGTTCAGCTTTCTGTGATCATCAGCACCTCAAGAATGAGTTTTACAAGTTTTAAACAGTTCATGTTTGTAATAAAGACAATAAAATCATTGTAATTCATCACCACAGCTGCATGTCAGTACAATTATAAAAGACGATGCTTCAATTCGGTTTATTTTGTACATTAACATAACAGATATCCATACAGCAGTAGATATTAATGTGTATCCTTTAACATTTGTCATGCAGAAACCATGCAGTGTGTGTGTGTGTGTGTGTGTGTGTGTGTGTGCGTGTGTAAAGTTTACAATGACATTGTGTGCGATCCATCATTGCAGAAAGATGTATTTGTGGATGTGTGCATGAGAGTGTGTATATGTCTCTTTCTGTCTTTGTATGTGAGGTTTGTGTTCGCGTGTTAAGTGTGTGTCACCTGCGGAGCGTGTTCTCTCCAGTGTGGGCTCTCTCTCTCTTAGCATCTCTCCATCTCCCATCATGCCCTGGGCTTCAGCTGAGCGCTCGTGGAGAACAGGAGACTGACACCTGTGGAGGAGACGCACATCAGAAATACACAACCATCTTCACACAGAACGCGTGTCTGTATGTGTATGTACACTCACCGGCCACTTTATTAGGTACACCTTACCAGTACCAAGTTGAAGCCATTTTGCCTTCAGAACTGCCTAAATCCTTCGTGGCATAGAATCAACAAGACACTGGAAATATTCCTCAGAGATTTTGCTCCATATTGACATGATAGAATCACGCAGTCGCTGCAGATTTGTCGGCTGCACATCCATGATGTGAATCTCCCGTTCCACCACATCCCAAACGTGCTCTATTGGATTGAGACTGATGACTGTGCAGGCCATTTGAGAACAGTGAACTCATTGTCATGTTCAGACTGTGCAGGCCATTTGAGAACAGTGAACTCATTGTCATGTTCAAGAAACCAGTCTGAGAGGATTCAGGCTTTATGACATGGAGCGTTATCCTGCTGGAAGTAGCCATCAGAAGATGTGTACACTGTGGTCATAAAGGGATGGACATGATCAGCAACAATACTCAGGTAGGCTGTGGCGTTGACATGATGCTCAATTGGTACTAATGGGCCCAGAGTGCGCCAAGAAACCATCCCCCACACCATTACACCACCACCACCACCAGCCTGAACCGCTGATACAAGGCAGGATGGATCCATGCTTTCATGTAGTTGACACCAAATTCTGACCCGACCATTCAATTGTGGCAGCAGAAATGGAGACTCATCAGAGCAGGCAACGTTTCTCCAATCTATTGTCCAGTTTTGGTGAGCCTGTGTGAATTGTAGCCTCAGTTTCCTGTTCTTAGCTGACAGGAGCGGCACCCGGTGTGGTCTTCTGCTGCTGTAGCCCATCCGCCTCAAGGTTGGACGTGTTGTGTGTTCAGAGATGCTCTTCTGCAGACCTCAGTTGTATTGAGTGCTTATTTGAGTTACTGTTGCCTTTCTATTAGCTGGAACCAGTCTGGCCATTCTCCTCTGACATCAACAAGGCATTTAAACTGCTGCTAACTGGATATTTCCTCTTTCAGGCCATTCTCTGTAAACCCTAGAGATGGTTGTGCATGAAAATCCCAGTAGATCAGCAGTTTCTGAAATACTCAGAGCAGCCTGTCTGGCACCAACAACCATGCCACATTCAAAGTCACTTAAATCTCCTTTCTTCCCCATTCTGATGCTCGGCTTGAACTGCAGCAGATCGTCTTGACCATGTCTACATACTTAAATGCATTGAGTTGCTGCCATGTAATCGGCTGATTAAAAATGTGCATTAATCAGCAGCTAGACCTAATGAAGTGGCCGTTGAGTGTTTGTTTTTTGTGTATGTGTGTTACCCATCGTATGGTGGATGCTGCTGGCTCCAGCTGGCGCTGCCGCAGGGTCCGGGATCACTGGAGGACGACTGGTTACTGGGTGAACTGCGGTAATGTTGAGACGCCTCTGTTTTGCTACATGACGACATCTGAGGGTTTTCTACATCCTGAACATTCCTGAACACACACAACACAAGACATGTGTATCAAGTCAACACTGCGAGAGCAACAGATTTCAGACTGACAAGCAGTTCAAGACGTCTGCTCCCTACAGAGAGTGAGTGTTCAGAGAGACCTTCATGTGAAGATTGCATTTAAAATTCAATATGATCTCCTCTAGCATGATGACATTCTTGAATGATGAAATCTGACGCACATTTTTGCAAAGCACCATGGATAATTAGGCCATTGTGCACTGATAAATTAAGCATCAATCAGTTTAATCCGACATAAAGGAGCACAGATTATGACGCTTCCCAATGAATTGAAACAATTGTTTGTTAAATCTGTTTTATATTTGCTGCTGGGTTTTCCATGGATACAGAAGATAACCCCGGTGTGAACATCTGCACATAAATAAATGCAATATAATGTGCTTTGAAAATCAACTGAAACTATTACAACCTGATTATGCATACAAAATAGACTGACTGATGCACACTATAAAATAACCGTCCTCATGCTTACATTGATACACGCTGGAAAGAATAATTAATGCACATTACAACACTATTGATACATAATACAAATTGATGCACACTCAGACACTGTTTCTGATGCATACTACAAATCTGTACTACAGTATTTGTTATTGAAGTATTCATGCACGCTACTAAACAGATGCATTCTAGAAAATAGTGTTACTGATGCATACTACAAAACTCTTGAACCATACTATAATATAGTGCTACTGATGTAAACTACCAACCAGCTTTATTGACGCTTACTATAAAATAAACAAGTTTTATTGATGCATACTAAAAATAAGTTAATGTTGCATACTTGATACACAAACAGTTAGCTGATGCATTAACAATCATTTACAGTACTTATGTATACATAAATGCATACTGCAAAATACCATTATTTAAGCATATATTTATGCATAGTATAAAATATTTGATGCATTCATTATTAATGCGTACTACAAAATGTTATATAAAAATTGTATTGAAACAGTACTGATGCATACTACAAAATGTCCATACACACAATACATTTTGCATACATTAATGCATGGTATTGTGTAAATGGTGCATGCATTAATAAATACTGCAGAATAGTTCTGCTCATGCATACATTAGTGCATACTTGAAAATAATGGTGTTCATGCAAATATTTATGCAAATTACAAAGCATTATTAATGCATTAATTACTAATGCATACTACAAAATATTATACATATTCCACAATATTATACACATTTATTGAAGCACAGTTGAAAAGCCTTAAAGACGCATACTTGATGCACACATAAACAGTCTGCTGATGCATAAAAAAAAGCAGTGTACTGATGCATACTACAAAATACCACTATTTATGCATTTATTTATGCATGGTATTGTGTAATTGATGAATGCATTAATCCTTACTACAAAACAGTTTTACTGATGCAGACATTAATGCATACTTGAAAATGGTGCTGATGCAAATATTCATGCAAATTATTAAGAAATTCATTACTAATGCATACAACAAAATATTATACTTGTTTTATTAATGCACACTAGAAAAGACATCTAGATGCATACTTGATGCACAGTCTGCTGATGTATCAAAAAGCAAAGCACTGGTGCATACTACAAAATACCAATATTTAAGCATACATTTATGTATAGTATAGCATATTTGATTTTACAAAATATGCAAAAGTTTTATTGATGCATACTAAAAAAGCCTTATAGATGCATACTTGACGCATGCGTTTATGCATACTACAAATTACTATTATTTATGCATACTATAAAATACTAGTATTTATGCATGCATTAATCCATACTTCTAAATAGATTAACGATGCATACATTAATGCATACTTGAAAATAGTGGTATTGATGCAAATATTGATGAAAATTACCATGCGTTACTAATGCATTCATTACTAATGCATTCTAAAAAACACAAACTCCACAATATTATACATGTTTTATTGATGCATGCTAGAAAAGCGTTATAGATGCATACTTGATGCACATAAAAAGTTAGCTGATGCATTAACAAAGCAGTTAGAGTACTGAGGCATACATTGATGCATACTAAAAAATAGCATTATTTAAGCATACCTTTATGCATAGTATAGCATATTTGATGCATTCATTATTAATGCATACTACAAAATATGCAAAAATTGGATTGATGCATACCAGAAAAGCCTTAAAGATGCATACTTGATGCACACTACAAAATACCATTATTTACGCATACTACAAAATACCATTGTGTAATTGATGCATACATTAGTGCATACTTGAAAATAGTGGTATTGATGCAAATATTCATGCAAATTACAGTACGTTATTAATGCATTCATTACTAATGCATACTACAAAATATTATACAAACTGCTGCTTTTGAAACCGCATACTTCCATACTTCATAGTACGCTAAAATCAGTATGCAAGCCGAGTAGTACATCCAAATTCATAGAATTCATAGAATACCCAGATGACTAACTACTTCCGGTGAGATTCTGAAGTGCGCAATCCATGCACACCGTGCTATCCCATTATGCCCGCGAGTGAAGCGCATTAACAAAGCAGTTAGAGTACTGAGGCATACATTGATGCATACTACAAAATAGCATTATTCAAGCATTCATTATTAATGCATACTACAAAATATGCAAAAATTGGATTGATACATACCAGAAAAGCCTTAAAGATGCATACTTGATGCACACTACAAAATACCTTTATTTACGCATACTACAAAATACCATTGTGTAATTGATGCATACATTAGTGCATACTTGAAAATAGTGGTATTGATGCAACGATTCATGCAAATTACAGTACGTTATTAATGCATTCATTACTAATGCATACTACAAAATATTATACAAACTGCTGCTTTTGAAACCGCATACTACCATACTATATAGTACACTAAAATCAGTATGCGAGCCGAAGAGTACGTCCAAACTCATAGAATTGGCGAATGTAGTATGTCAAATTCTATTCATACTTCTCACATTCATACTGTATAGAACGTACTTTTCTAGCAACCGAGTAGTACGGAAAATCAAATGCTGTACCTTCTGACTAGTAGGCGGTTTCGGGCACAGCCAATGTTTTATTGATGCAAACTAGAAAAGCCTTATACATGCAAACTTGATGCATCAAAAAAGCAGTTAGAGTACTGATGCATACTACATAATCCCATTATCTATACATACAATAATGCATGGTATTGTTTAATTGATGCATGCATTAATTTATACTACAAAAAAGATCTACTGATGCAGACATTAATGCATACTTGAAAATAGTGGTGTTGATGCAAATATTGATGCAATTTACAATGCGTTCATTACTAGTGCATACTACAAATTACAATACTAAAATAATATACTGATGCATTATTTTTGCAAACATGTATGCATATTTGCTATTTAAAACATAGTAAATGATGCATACATTAATCCATACAAAGATATTATGAATGCACATATTTATGCATAGTACATATATTAATCCATATGTGCTATTAATGCATATATCAATGCACACTTGAAAATTGTGTTATTAATGCATATATTGCTGCATATTAGAAAGCGTATAGTGTCTGTTTTTCCTGTTATGGATGTCAATGGTTATCAGTTTCCAACACTCTTCAAAACATCTTCTTTTTTGTTTAACAGAAGTAAATAATTCTGGTTTGGAACAAGTCAAGAGTGAGAGAATGACAACAGAATTGTTGGGGGAACTATCCCTTTAATGATGCATAATAGTCACTAAACATAATGCAGATACTATTGCAATGTGTTATACTGAACACATCCGCAGCCCTCCACTAATGATGCCTCACTGAGAAACTGTCTACCAATGATTCAATCACACATGAAAGTATGAGCCATGAACACATGAACGCAGAGCTGTTCTGCTTCCTGTCGTCCGCCAGCTTAATGGGAACCAGCAGTGACTCTATAAGCATCTCATTCTCCATGCACGCATCTCATACACCTTCCAAAACCACAGACACAGAATGAAGGGGATTTCACCCCATCTCCTAAAACAGGCTGACGTCAGCCTCAATTCACAATGCGCAGAGCAGAATACACACACACTGCAGGGCTAGTGTATTTGTGCATCACAAACGCACCAGGCAAGATGCATACTAGAATAGAAAACATCACTATGATGACAGATGTACAGTTGAAGACGATTAGCTAGATTTAAAATGATTCAATTATTAGAGATTTTAAAAGTTTAACAAGAAACTAGTATTCAGCTTAAAGCATGATTTAAAGGCTTAGTTAGGTTAATTAAGGAAAACCATTGGACAACAGAGGTTTGTTCTGTAGCCAATAAAAAAAAAAAGCTCAAAGCGAATTTCACTTTGGCCGGATTTTGTTCGAAGTAAAGTTTATGTATGAACTAATTTCAAGAGGATCACGTGCTTATGGTTGCTTGCAGCCAGCCCCGCATTATTCAATTCATGATTCACCAATCAGATAATTCCAAGGACCCCTATAAATACCCTAAGTTCCATATAACAGCATCTTCGTTTTGAAGAATCCCCCTTCCACCCCTCCTTCTCCTTTTCTAGATGGGTGGCCCAGTGGCCCAGCACTATTGCCTTACAGCAAGAACGTCACTGGTTCTAGTCCTTACCAAGCCAGCTGACATTTCTGTGCGGATTTTACACGTTCTCTTCGTGCTCATGTGGGTTTCCACCGGATTTTCCCCTCCCACAGTCAAAAAAGAAAACATGCAACGCTAGTTAATTGACTAATCCTAGTTAATAAGACATGCTCCTACTTAATAGTTATCTCGTAAGAGCAATCACTAGGGTATATGCCGAAGTATGCTAATAGGATTTGCCAGTAGCCTGGGTTAAGCACTTCCAGTGAACTGTATGTCAATGTAAAAATCGGCGCGTTTAAGGTCTGTTTTCTTTAAAATTCAACAATCTCCACTGACTGAGTGATATCTGATATAAAGTGGGTTTCAGATTG